AAGAAAAAACAAACCAAAAATTAAGTGCCACTCATATTAAGAAACCTAATCTGTTTTTGAGACGAGTAGCAATAAATCTTGTAGATTTAAACGTCGAAAACTATCTTTAATAATACATACTTAAGTATTGACAGAAAACTACAGTGTAGAAAATGGTGGAACCTATTTAAAATATGAGGTTTTCGGTGAACAGGTGATTAAATGGCTTAATATTAGTGGACCTTCATTTATGGGTTTCCCGTTTCCGCCTGTCTGTCTATCTGTCTGTCCGTCTGTCTGTCTGCCGTCCCGATTTTTTTTTACGTTTTTGCAAAGTGATTCTCTGGCTGTGCGAGTGAGTTGTTGTCACCCTTTGGTGCTTGGACCGCCGCCACTGTCTAGATAATGCCAACGTAGTTAGCGAAACGCGTTGATAGTTTTTGCAATTTTGTATTTTCGGTGTTGCAGGGGAAATAAACTTATAGTGTATTGTTAACATATTTTTTACTCCCCGGGTGTACTAATTCTATAACAAAATTTTACAATTTATTTGTAAACTGCAGAATAGATCGCTCTGAAATTTTACACACCCTTAAAGGTTATCACAAACATGGTAAATCGGGTAATTAGAATTGACCTATACATTATTTCCGAAAACTTGATAACGTCACATCAAAATCTCACTTGAAATTTATAGTCCGATATGGCTTAAGTGTATTCATATTTTTTAGAATTTTTTATAGATGATGTCTCTAAATATTGATGATGGAGTTTATTTCACTGATTAATTCAAAAACAGTTTAGGTACGTAATTTTCCAGAATTTTGATTATATAGTACTGTCGTTATTAAGGTTACATTGTATGTATCAAAATTAATATATTTATCCCCACTAAAAACTTTCTTGTAGTTTAGTCATTTATCCCTACTGTTTGTTAAAAATACATACAAATTTTATAATTTGTCTATGAAACTAGGGCTGTTTAATGAATTGTTCTTCAGTATGTATGAAAGTCTTGTCTAAATAACTTTGTTTAAGCTTTCGTCATAAAATTCGGAAAAGTACTACGAATAGATTGTTTTAACGTGCTGCAGGATTGTGTACAGTGGATTTTGGAAATATTTTTTTTATAACAGTTTAGAATCTTTATCACAATTATAATTCTTACCTAGAGTTATTAAACAAAATTGTTCTCTTAGCTTTGCATAGTTCTGGATGCAGTTACATTTCTTAATTTAAAACATTTTTCAATTATTTCCACCATTAATTATACAGTTGTAATAACAGTAAGTTGTGAAATTACGGAACGTGCTGTGTGCCGTTATATCATTTTTTAATAATGAGTTGATGGACCTTTTGAAAACAAATATTACTCTTGATCTTATTCCTAGTTTAGTTTTTTTGTAGTTTTTTTTTCCGTAAAGAAGTATGTCCTTAGTATAAACGGCATATAGCTTTTTTATATAAATATTTACTAGGAAATTATATTTTATTTCCGATTTGTTATTTGTCTTAAAAATAAATCTGTCTTATTTTTTGCCAATTATCTTCAAGGATATGAGTATAATTACATTTTTTTTTTATTCAAAATGGCTTTAGAAACTCTCTTTTTATCAGACATTTTGTACATATAATGATAATTATGTGAATTTTGAATATTCATGTACTGAGAAAATTTGATTAAATAAAAAAAACAACTTTAAAAAATAAAAATTAATATGTTGTAGGAGTGGTAATGTTGTAGCAATTTTGTTTTCAAATAAAAAATTCTACCTAAATAGTAATTACGACAAAAAATAGAGCACTGTGGAACTGATAATAATTCTTAATTTTACGATCACACAACTGCTGTAATTCTTTCACAACTTTTGAACGCAAGTTGCTCAAAACGATGACGAACTTTATACTTCAAAGAATTAAGAAAAAACGAGCACCATTAATTTTCTTTTTAATTAAATCCAACATTAAATACATTTCTGGCAAGTGTGTATAATGCTGCCGTATTTTTACATTCGCTTCACATAAAGGAATACCAGCGAACTTGAACAAATAAATAAAACAGAAGTTACATGATCTTGTTTAGCCCGCTACTCTTATTACATGTGTCTTACATAATATGACGCTTTTTTTCGAAGCATTAACACTTCTTCAATTTAATATATTGTGTGTTTGTGTGTTACTGTTACAACAACGTGTGTATTCACCTCAACAAAAATAAACACAAAAATGGTGTAAATGTGATAAGTATGATACATCGGTGCGGCGTTTTTGTTTAGATGTAAACTAACACAGTGTCATAAATATGTAATAAAAGAACCATGTTATTTTCTGCTTGATTAAGCAAGATAAGTCCAACATAAATGTTCTGCCTTATATTTTCATCATAAATACAGGAACAACAATTGTGGTATTAGAAGTGATTAAAGACGGTTTCTTCTCTATGTAGATTTGTGTAAAAGGAAAGCATTTATTGTCATAAGAAAACAATTATTACAATAAATAAAAAGAGTTCGTGACCTTTATACAAAACCTGTCATTGTTTATATCTATATCAGTTCATTAACTCAAAATAGTGTTTCCACGACGTGATTAATTTACCGAAATTTTGATAAGCACGTTTTTTATGCAATACATTAAAAATCTAATTTAAATAATGATATAATACTTACTTGCTTTTTTTTTCAACGATAAACAAAACTGGAAGATATTGTGAAAAAAATCGTGTTAATTGTTTTCACTGCTTTGAAGAAACAAATTTTTCACAAAACTGACGAACGTCTTTCACACAAACGTCTATCGTCTAGCGAATAGACTGAAATAACGTCCACACCGTCCCAGTGATAAAGAGCGACTGTTCAAATCTAAACTTTTCGTCCATTGATAAAGAAGCCATGAAATGATCCTTCCAGATGAACAGATGTCCTCCACATGTACGTTTTGATATCATTTCACAATTCGACAGGTAATTAAACACTTGATTAATTTATCGCAGTGTTTTTTTTTTCATCGTTTAAGGCGGCTCCCATGAAAAGAAAATCATTGCGTAGGGCAATAAGTGTTAATGGTGAAAATCTTTTAGACCATTTTATTAATTTAAAGGCATGGAGCTATAAATTAAATAGTTTAATTTGGTGACATCCCTAGTCACTTTTAACGTTATTGATGTATCCGACTAATTGAGTCGTTTTCGTCAGGAAACGTCTGTATGCTTCAATTTAATAATAACTGTAATAATACAACAATATATATCGTTTAAGGCGGCTGAATTCTTGACCGCTTATGTTATTTATACCCACAAACAATATTTTAGTCAGTGGTGAGCTTTTTATAAAACCCGCCGGTTTACATTTCTAACAGTTCATCGGTTAATCGAAGCTTTGCAGACACAACTTACGAAATGGTTCAGCAAAGTTTCTATTATGATCCCCATCCAAATTTACCACTTTTCTGGTACCAAAATTAGCACAGACATTAGTTACGTCTAAAGTGGTGTTGTTGAACTTGAAATACTTTCCAAGTTTTTATTTAAAATTATATAAACAATTCAGTATTTTAACAAGCGACAGGAAATCATTCTGGCGGGAAAATCTGGAAGTATTTTTGTTATTAATGGCAAACATCCATGAATAAGAAAATAAAATCTTCACGTCTTCATAAACACGTGAAGACTCATTTCGCATATAAATGGGTAGATCCTCGGTTTTGATTGTCCTGTTGTTAAAAAATTCTGAATGAGTAATCGCGTGGCGATCCTAATGCTTCAAAAAATTCATCAAGCCATATATTCGTTGTTAACTAGTTAATAACAAGCGTCAATTTTACGTAATCGCTAGGAAAAATATGATCCTAATCTTAATGGCTTTAACACTGTGGCGCCCATTTAAACTAGAACAGACCACACAAGAATTGTAAATTCTAATTGATCTTATTAACAGGCGGAAGAGAAGAGTAATGTGTAACATTTAAATTATCGTTTGCAAAAACCTACGAAATTCCGAATTTTAAATTAGATTAATGCAAAAACACAGAAATATTTTAAAAAGGTGTCACATAAATTTCCGTTCGAAAACGGTAATTATAAATCTGACCTAACAATGTTGGAGTAATGCGATATGTTCCGCGTTTATTTATTCGCGTCACTCTGCTTATTTTCAGTCATTTTCGCAAGTCACTTTACTCGAAACTTAATAGTAGTAGTGCAACTGCAGTTGGTGCAGTGTAAACAAAAACAAACAGTTGGCTATTGAACTTGTTATGAGCGTTTAACTCAACAGCTTGCACTAAATTAAACTATTCTTTGGAAATACGGAATTCTAAACATATTCTTGTCGTTAGAAAAATATATGGAGATGATGAGTTTAACGAACTAAAGAGCCTTACATAATGGGTCCTTGTTGACGAAAAATTAATTAATTCGTACCTGAATAGGTGAAGAGGGTCGTAGATTATTGTGTAATTGAATAATGTGTACCTTTTAAGTCGTGATACGATCAAACGTCGTCTCAGAAATTTGAATATGCAGGAAGTCGCGGTTTTGTAAATTAATTTTGGAAGTGGTTTTATTCTCCCGCAGATATGGTGGTCTGGTATCTGAAATAGTACAAGAGCAAGCATACATAATATTAATGCCATGGTCTTAATTTAGACATTCCATCACAATGGACCCAAGCTTCGTGTCGCAGGTAAACATGCATTTGCACTTATAAAAAAAATCTGAATATTATGCTGATTTATGCAACATTTAAAAGTTATATAACAACACATAATAACTGAAAGAAATATTACTTCCTTAAAAACACGAATGCCACAAATTAAAACTAAATCATTTTCATATTCATTTTTATAAATAATGTCAAATTTTATTAAAATGTTGACAATTAACATACCAGCTTTTGTGTCTTTTCGGGGACACATTAATTCAAATGAAGTCAAATTAATTATAATAATTTTTAGATAAATTAAACAGTTTCATTAAACAAACATAAAAACGCTGCTTTTGATGTACACATTACATTACTCACTAGTTTGCGGTTGGTGTCATGTTCACTTCAACTTAATACTTGGTTGAAAACCTTTACGATGCGAATTAATTTTTCTCTTGTTATATAAATCACTGCCATGATTTCGGTTAAAAGTTACTACGACTTTTTATGTGGTGAATGAACAGTTCTTTAAATCAGCTACATTGTCTCTAGTATTTACGCGAATGAGTTCACTTCATCCGTCAGGTTTCGGGTGAAACGCTCAATCGGGCAAATTCGGAGCGAACCGGGGAAAAACACTCAGCTCTGCATTCCTGCACTGCTTCTCCTTCGGCCTGAAAGGGCGCTGAGAATTTAATAATAATAATACAGCTTTAACAAACATAATTTAATTAGAAACATTTTTGTAGCAAAATGTGAATAGTAAAATAATCATAACGATTGTCATTACATCTCACCTAATCAAAGCACAAATAAAATCATCGAATTCATCAGTGAAAATATGGAACTGCTACAAATTTTTTTTAGATATTTATTATTTATACAAATTTCAATTCATGGAATCCGAAAGTGCGAGTTTTCTGTTTCCATGTGTATGTTGACGATTTCATTAAAAATAATAAGTCGATATAGTATCACAGTCTGTCCTAATTTAATTTTCCAAATTTCGGCAAAAACAGTAATGTGATTTATTATGATTATATTGCACATATACAAATTGATTATATTATCAGCTGCAAAAATTGTCTCGACGAGTTATCAATCACTGTCATTCACGTAATGTTTATATTTTTACAGTACGTAAGTCACTAGGGCAACGATACCATGTTTTTTTTATCAACAGATTTTTTATCACTTTGTAGCAACAGTCCTACATTTCTTGAGAAGTAAAAAGTACTGTACCAATATAAAACTTACCAATGCCGCCGCTTTCGGCTGGTACCAACAGATTTTACAGTTGTAACGAACAGGAATCTCATAAACATTCCAAAATCACTGACTTGTTATCTTCACATTAATGTGCTCTTGCACGGAGCGATATTTCAATTTTATTTTCAGAACTATCTAAAGAACGATACTGTATCGTACACTTAACGGATCGTTAAAGTGCCAAGTTTGTAGTTTAGATAAGTTTCATGTCAAAGAGTCACGCTTACCTTCTTTTTGGGACATTTGTTTGGTTAATTAAAAATAATTTGAATCTATTTATTTCTGTCTAAGACGAGAGTTACGTGAATTTTTCAGACGTGGTTACTCAGTGAAATTGTTCGTGTTATGTAGCTGAACATTCGAGGAATTTATACTAATTAGATTTTGTAGCAAATGAAAAATGAAGATAGGGAAGTGATAACAAAAAATAGTAATAAATATTGCTTGAATACATTATTCTTCATTAATTTGTAACTGAAAAATGGTAATATTTTCTGTTACAAAAAATGTATTTTTTTAGAAAGTTTTTGGAGAATAAGCGATAAAATTGAGTATGTGTAACATGATACTAGATTTTATTGCTAAACTAGTCGAATGAACGTTTTAATAGGGTCTCCTATTTCATTAATGTACGAATTATTTAACAAAGTAGTAAATGTAAGAGACACTAATTTATTATCTTGAAAATTATGGTCAATTTAACATAACTCACCACTGAAGTATGTATAGTTTTATCTAAGACGCTTAATATATCTCAAGATTTATAATTCTAATGGTTGTATTTAATAGTTTGTTATGAAGTTTAGAATATTACTCCTATCATTTTTATTATTATAAGTAAAACATCGTAGCCTTTCAATGAACAAGAAACATTTCGATACAAATTTAAGTTTAGATGAACGACAATAGTTTATAAATAATGATTTGTTTTTTTGAGAAAGGACAAGCTATTTTTACATTCAAGTGTAATGCTGCTTAAAGGGCAACAAACTTCAGTGTCTGAAACAGTCAAGTACTGAACTTCATTTGTTCTTGTCAACTTATGAATTAATACCTACTTAACAGGATGTCAATGAACATAATAAAAAATATCATTTAAATTGAGTTTTGGTTGCATGACCTTGAATTATGCCAATTGTTCATTGAATGTTGGTAGTTACACAGCCTGCAATTTCAGTTTAATTAAGAAATATTCGTCACAAAATTTCGTTTGCTTTGTTATTAATACCAATACAAATTTCCTTGTGATAATTTTTTAATTAAGTAATTCAAACTACATATTAGAATTTTGTTCTTCGATTTGTTGGTAAGACAATGCCATTGTTTTGATGATTACAAAGCATCGACTAAAATTATGACCTGTCAAATAAATATTTATTAAAACATTTGCAACGAATGTGTGATGTCATTGTGCTTTAGTAACACGTTTTAATTTTGCAGAATTGCTAACACAGAATATCTAAAAAAAGGCAAAATTTTATTGAAAAAAAAACCCGAGTCAGCATTATGTGTATGTCAAATTACATGGTTTTAAATGTACTACGATCTGATCTGAAAAACTAATCTTTAACGTCCATTTATTTCTTTTTTTTTCTGATTTCATTGATGTGTCATATTTTGTTTAAAAATTACGATAAAAATTATTTTCATGTCTATATCAAGACGGTGGTAATTAATTTTTTAACCCGATTATTTGGGTATACAAATCCAAAAATTTAACAAAATTTACGTTAGCATATATATCCATTAAAAAGTGGTAGCGTCATTTGGAAAAATGTAAACATTTTTAGTACCTTAAATAAGTTTAGAAGGTTTTTCCAAATGTTACTACGAAATTTGGTAATCATTTTAAAAAAGTTATTCTTTTGACATTTTGGTATCTGGTGCCCTTTATTTATAATAACCTGTGGTCACCCTAACCACTGTCTAGTGTAGTAATAACTTTATTTTTAAAATTATAGTCGTGTACATGTATGTATTATTTTAACTGATATAAATGAAATTGATCACATTTAAAACAACTGACAGAGACGAAAATGTCAGATAATGGTATTTACTAAATGTCACATTGTGAGAAATAACAACAAAAATCCGAACTCTCCTTGTATAATATTCTAATCAAAGGTGCAAAAATCGAATTTCACATAAATATGAATATTGAAATATTGAGATTCTCTATTATAACTGATTAATAATGATATTATATCAGTAACTTGAGGGAAAATCATGTGTTTAAGTGTTGTAAGAGAGAATAAGAAGTTCGTTCACTACCAATTAGCATTTTTTCATAGCCATCAGTTTTATTGACCAATTACCACTTTCATGTCTTTTAGCATTTCATTTTCGTAAGGTTTGAGGTTACTTATTTTTAGTAATAATATTTACTTTTCATTTATTCATTTTTCTACCGCATAAGGTATAATGGTTATTTTGTTTGTGTTGAGCAAAAATGGTTTGTTAAGTGATGTTTTGTCTCACGCTTTTTAATAAAATTATTTTTACGACGAATAAGTAGTTATTTTACCGTAGAGCTTTCGCTTTTTTTCTTGAACATTCACTGATTATAGCAAAAATCTGAACCGAAGAGAACAAAGTTTTTGTAATTACAGTGACTGTTATGGCAACATTTCTTTCAGAATTCTCCAAATATGTCTACCTAGTGTTTGAGAGAGAAGCGTCTCCAATCCGGATGTTGACAACTTAAGTCTGTTAATTAATCTTAAACGGTAGGGGACCTCCACCGTACCAACCAGTGTTTCAAAAGGGGAACTGAGGACTTCTTAAGCAGATAACGTGAATAGAACTTGGAAGACAAAATACCTATTCGAAATATCTGTTTAGCAAGTATAAAGCAATAAATAAGTTAGTCGCACTGGATAGCGTCGTCGCAACTGAATCAATTTTATTCAAATTTCGCCTTACTCTAGCCTAGATAAGTATAGGCATAGTGTGTCAACGGTGTAACATTACTCATTCCCCTGAATGTTAAAAAAATTCGTTGTAGTCTATTATATTTTAATTAGGGTTGCAAATATGTAGGTGTTTCTTTTGAACATTATAAACCACCTTTTTTTATATAAAAACTGATTAACTTCGATTATAATGAATTTATTCGACGATCCATATATTGTTAGTGTTATTAACATATCGTTATTAAAAAATTCACTTTAACGTCCATGGATTTTGCCTCTGAGGCGAAGAAAGTTCTATTGTTGCAAAATAGTTGACACCTTGTAAATGGTGAAATAATATAAACTTTTGACAGTAATTTGCAGACACAAATTTAATTTATTTGTTCTTATAACTATTAGTACAAAATATCATCAGTTAAAAATGCGAAGTCTAACCTGCTCGACTATCTGTTATTTTTCAAAATATCAATCAACCGCGTTTTAAATTTCGTGTGCTATGGTAAAGTTTAGACTATCAACTTTATCTCAAAAGTGTTTTTGTGAGATATGTGCTAGCTCTGATTTAGGGAGTCCAGAATATTAATTAAAACATTTTTTTGTCTTTTTCAAAACGTTTCTGACGTCAACTCAAACAATTTTATCTACACATCCGCGAATTCAAGAATTTCCTGCATTACTTTATTCCGCTCAAAAAATAATATCATATCTATTTTGATTGTTAATCGACTATATCTCTGACGAATTCACTTATCTTTGGTATTATTTCCGTTAACTTATATTTTTAATCTTATCTTAGATTTATCAAAAAAAAAATCACTTTGTGAACGTGTTTAAAATCTGTAGTTGTTAAATTTGTGCAGTGTTTTTCTTGATTTTACAACTGCTGCATATAGCAAATTTCGGAACATGACAAGAATACATTCGACGTACTTGTTTTGCTTGCTACTTTATTTAAGTAAGTATTTGTGCAACGTTCTGGTTTACTTCATTTTACAAATTATCACACCGATAAATACTTCAAATTTTAACGTAGTAGGGATTTAAGTGTCCTAATAGCATATTATGGTTGAGAAATATTCATCTTTTAATAAAATTATATCAGATGATTACTTTTCAGTACCTATGCTTTATTTTATTTCAGTGACGTATTGTTCTAGTACATATATCAAGTGGTGATATCTACCTGCATTTCTTCGAATTTGATTGAAGTTTCAAGTTCTAAAGAAAGTGATGTTTATGTTTTACTCAATTATTTAAAATTATCAAAATAATTGAAAAGTTTTTTATATTTAAATTTATAATTTAAATTTGTGTTTGACTGCCTTACTACGTGTTTTCTACTTCCGACGGCCATAGAAAACTGGACCACTTTGACATAACAAAGTTGTACTTGTTATTTTTACTTCTCGAGCGTAAGCAAGGTATTGTAATCGAGTCCGTCGACCGACTCTCTACTTTTACGTTTTCTCGATCTTTCATGACCCCTAGAAGAAATAGGTCTCCCATTTCCGTCTGTCTGTCCGTCTGTCTGCCGTCCCGGATTTTTATTAGACAGATAATCACCGAAAGTACTGGACCGATTGTCGTGAAATTTTGTACTTACATTAGGAATATCATGTAGATGGTAAAACGCTAACCAAAATTTGTCTAATCATCCCTACCACTAATGCGATGACGTCACTTCAATATTGTACATAGTAAATGGGTTTTAAATTGTATAAAATAACATAGTCCTACACATGTACTTTACGAGTCCGAATTGAGTTTTTACCCGAAACGTCCAGATTTTTGAAAAAAAAATCAAAATTATGAAACAATATTTTGCAATTTAATTTTGAATCTGCTAACCCGAATGTTTTGAAATGTTGCAGATATTTTAAGGTTATAAAGAGCATCATAAATCTTTAGTCAAAATATATTTGGTTATCCCCTCCAAAAACTTGATGACGTCAGCTCAAAAGTTTGCCGAATAAATCATATCTAAAATGTACAAAAAATGATGAGTCTGTTCTTGTGATATATCACTCTATCCATATTTTTTGGATTTGCATAAATTTACGCATGATGATGCGAAACCGAATGCTTTGAAATCTTGAAGATGTTTTAAAATTATCATAAGCATGGTAAAATTTTGATCAAAATGTATTTGGTCATCCCCCTTAAAAAATGTATGACGTCACCACAAAATTTTGCTGAATAAATCCTATCTAAAGTGTACAAAATATGGTGAATCTCTTCTTGTGATTCATCATTCCATTCAAATTTTTTCGATTTGCATATACAGGGTGACTCAAAAAAATTAATGAATGCGTGAATTTATTTTATTGAGTTAATCAGGAACTACAAAACCGAATGTTTTGAAATCTTGCAAATCTTTTAAGGTTATAAAGAGCATAATAAATGTTTAGTCAAAATATATTTGCTTATCCCCTCCAAAAAATTAATGACGTCAGCTCGAAAGTTTGCTGAATAAATCCTATCTAAAATGTACAAAATGTGATGAGTCTCTTCTTATGATTTATCACTCCATTCATATTTTTTGGATTTGCGTATACAGGGTGACCCAAAAAAATTAATGAATGCGTAAATGTATTTTATTGATTTAATCAGGAACTACAGAACGAATGTTTTGAAATCTTGCAGATGTTTTAAGGTTATAAAGAGCATAATAAATTTTTGGTCAAAATATATTTGGTTATCTTCTCCAAAAAACTGATGACGTCAGCTCAAAAGTTTGCCGAATAAATTCTATCTAGAATATACAAAATATGATGAGTCTGTAGTTCTAATTTATCATTCCATTCATATTTTTTGAATTTGCATATACCGGGTGACTCAAAAAAAATAATGAATGCGTATATATATTTTATTGGTTTACTCAGGAACTACAAAACCGAATGTTTTGAAATCTACTGTGAAAAAAAAAATAATAGGCATGCAGTCGTCACGTTTCCGACAGCGAGTCTAAACTCTTTAGACCAATTTTTTTAGACATAATCTCCTAAGCCACCGGACCGATTGTTGTTACATTTTACATGTATATTACGAATATCGTGTAGAAGGTAAAATCCTAACCAAAATTTGTCGTTCAACACAATTTGATGATACCACTTCAAAATTTTGTATGAGAAATATTATTTAAATTTTATAAAACAACACACTTCTGTACTTACGGTTTATGAATCCGCCTTGAGGTTTTTTGTTGTTACACTCTTACTACTAAGTATCTACACATGTATTTTTAATGTATAGAAGTTATCACAAATAAAATTTAGCAAAATCAATTTTTTTATAGAAACGGAATTTGTTGAATTTTTAGATTGTACTTCAAAGGCGAAGAAAGTTCTCGCAAAATAACCTTCCACCATCAAAAATGATGAAACCTTAATTAAAATTTTAAAATATTAAAGACGTCACCTGTAAAACAATGTTATGTAAAGTGTAATTTTAACAGGTCTGTACGCCGTTTATTTTAAATTTTACTAGAATGCTTCAATATTTAATACATTGCTTAAGGGGTTACAGAATTTACTTAAAATTCATTTAAAAACTGAAAACTCAAATAGGTAATAGGAAGTATTTTTCATTTTAACTTTTCGAACGTAAACTAAGGAATTGGATAGAAATATAGAAAATAGAACGAAATATTATAATAGGGTCCATCCGAATAAGTTTCAGATTTTGTCGACGTATCATGACCCCTACTGTTATTATTAGTATTATATTGCACCTACGCAAATTGATTTACCTGTCCTTGCTAAGTGTTGATGACGTGAAAACAAAATTTTGTTATGGAAAAACTCACTTGAAACATATGCATAGCATGCTTCTTGATCTGACTTTGGCACCTCACATATATCTTTATTTTAAATTTTATAATTTTTCGAAGAAGCTATATTTATTTGCCTTTACTTCAAAGCCGAAGTAAATTTGTGTCTAAATAACTTTAGTTTTTATAATTTATCATAAACATACGAACCGTTTTATTTTATTCATTACGTCAGTAACGAAGCATTTAAATTCGCAAAAAAGGGGCATAGTAGCATGTTTATAGTGGCATATTTTACATTGTAAAATCAGTATATTTATCTGAAAGTAAAACTTCATGTCACACTCATGTCCACGCGGTATTGGTTGTACTTTACAAGAAATAAACTTGTATATCTATAACTTCACAAAATATCTTTTTTTTACTTTTAGAAGTATCAACAATAAAATGTGATGATCCCACAACGATGGCACCAACAGAGCCGATACCTTCAACTGTTCCATCACAATCTACAGCAACACCCATATCTACAACGACACCAACTTCTATAACACAAACAACAACGACATCGATATCTTCAACGACACCAACTTCAATTACATCACAAACTCCAACAACACAAACATCTGCATCGGCATCTACAACGACACAAGTTTCTTCAACGACAACGACATCGACTTCTACAACATCTACAACGTCACAAGCCCCCACAACGACAACAACTGCTACCACACCAACAACAACGACAACAATTCCAACGACAGAATCGACAGTTATTAATCTAGTGCGCTCATTTACTTGGACAGATTGCCAAGGCGCTAACCCGGAAATTTTTAATGTAACTCCAGGGTATTTTATATCGGCGACGGTGTCAGATGTCAGCATTTCAAATGGCAATTATCTCCTAATAGAAGGAGGAAATTCCCGCATTGATGGTGCAACTGATGGGCGAGTCTTTGCTAATACAGTCAAAGGACCTATTTCGTATTTGTTTAAGACACATATGGTTTATGCATATTGCGAGAATACAAGGCAAGATGATGAAAATCCTGATGATCCTCCGTGGGCGAACTTTACTATCAAATTTCAAAGAGTAGGTAAGAAATCGGAATCCTCTTCAAATCATCTGACATTACTAACAACATTTTTAAAAAGGTGAAGGAACATCTACAGTCCCCACAACTGTTAGTACAACCACTCTGACTGTCCCAACGACGCAAAAGGATGATTCAATTTTTATAACAGTAAATATGACAGGAAGAAATTATTTAGAATATAATAACGCTTCAGTTAAGCAAGCTTTTCAAGAATGTGTGGCTAGCATAAGTTTCGAGTATTGCAGAATTAATAACATTGAGTTATCTCCCAACATAACGTAACAAATTTAATCATTTTTGGTACAAGGCACTTACACATTTTTTTCAGATCCGAATACGTCATGATATCCAAGATAACACAATGTCCTTACAACTGGCCAGAAAGCACAACCTGTACCCAAATAACATTTAAAGTACCCATTTTCTATGACAGTTCAAACTGGGATGGCTATCAGTTAAATACAGAGCATTTAGAAAAAATATGGTATCAGAAAGATCAACTGGACATTCACGGCTGTTTCGTAAACAATTCTTTTGAAGATTATGATGAGCCAGAATTTGAACTCGCCATCACATGGTGGGCTATTGGTATTAGTTTAGTGATTGTAGCGTTCGTGGCTCTTTTGTGGTTTATGAGATTATTTTCTTCGCGTGTCAAAACTGCACTTAAAAAACGGTAAACATCTCGATTTTAACTGAAACTTATTCTCTTATATGTTATGGCTATTTATTTGCAGACAAAATCAACGAAGAAATAGCGACACCGTATCTATTATGTCAAGGAAGACGAATAGTGTGTCCTCTCTCACCCCACACTATTTACAAGATCATCAGGATATCAGTACACCAAAAATTTTTGATATTTAAAGTTTTTCGTTTTGAGGTTATTCATTATGATATTATATTATTAAATATTTTGCTATACCTACATCTGTACTAATTTATTTATTACATATTTTTAAAAAATAAAATTTGTTTTATCCACACTTAAAAATTTTTCTATCAATAAAAAGTGTATATTTATTTTAATTGCCAAAGAAATTTAAAATTAAAAGTGGCTGTTTTTTCAAGTTAATGAAAAAGTCGACGTCTAGTAGCCAAGTTATTTTTGTTTACAATTTAAAAATTTATGCGTTAATGGCAATCTTATTTTGCATGTGCGAGTTATTCAAAGATCAGAGGAAGAATCCAAACCCGCCGATATTTTTTTACATATCAGAAGATTTTAGATTTTACAGCTCATTTATTTTTATAAATTGCCGTTTTCCGAATTCAAATGATGATAATTAATTATATACAACCTTCAAAACTGATTTATTGGTTTAGTTGACATTTTTGCTATCCTTGTCTGCAAAACACACAGTGTTGGTTCGTAAGGGAATTCAGTACAGGTTTGTAAGCATAACGTCAGTTTATACAAGAAATCACCTAATAAATGATATTTGATGAATCTTGTATCTTATTACAATTAATGTGCACATATTAAAGCTGTATATTAGGTATCTAAGTGATAAAAATGTGGGAAACATTTTTATTAAAAAAAAACTTTTTGTTTGAAAATTGAAATGAAATTTAAAGCTATAAAGTCAGTTTAGGTTGTTTATAATATTATTCTTGAAACCATCAACCAGTACTATTAGAGAAGTAGTTATTTGTACATTTGAAGTGATAAAACATTGAATTCGTGGAATATGACGACTAAGCAAACAACTCTGCAATTGTGAATGTGAAGAATTTTATGCACACATGAATAATCCTGTACGCCTGAATCTTTTAAGTTAGACGACAGTTCTAGCTCAATAGAAGGCATATTTTTTAAACATTCTAAATTCGAAAACCCATTCCCTATCATTCTTTTAAAGTTCGTGGATTTTTATTTCCCGAGCGTAAGCGAAGGAAGTATTGTAATCGAATTCGTGGACCAATTCCCTATTTTTACGTTTTCTCAACCTTTCATGACTCCTAGACTACCAAGAAAGAGGTCTCCCGTTTGCGTCTGTCTGTCCGTCTGTTTGGCGTCTGTCCGGATTTTTATTAGACAGATGATCTTCGAAAGTACTAGGCCGATATTAGTTGTCAATTTTTTTATTTATATTAGGAATATCATGTAAGTGATAAAATGCTAACAAAACTTTGTCTAATTGTCAACACCAATAGTGTGATGACGTCTATTCAAAATTGTATAAAATAACATAGTAGTTTATGACTCCATCTTGAATTTTTACCCAAAACGTTCGATTGTTGTAAAAAATCAAAAGTATAAAACAACATTTTACAATTTAATTTTGAATCTGCTTATTCTCTCCAAAAATTGATGACATCAGCTCAAAATTTTGCCGAATAAATCCAATCTTAAATGTGCAAAATATGATACGTGTGATTTATCTCTGCATTAATATTTTTTAGATTTGCTTATACGGGATCTCTCAATAAAAGTAATGACTGAGTCAATTTATTTTATTGATTAAATCAAGAATTGCAAAACTGAACACTTTGAAATCTTGCAGACGTTTTAAAGTTACTGAAAGCATAGTAAATTGTTATCAAAATATATCTGTTTATTCCCCCCCCAAAAAATTAATGACGTCATCTCAAAATTTTGCCGAATAAATTCTACCCAAAATGTGCAAAATATGATGAATTTTACTTGTGATTTATAATTGCAATAATATTTTTTAAATTTGCTTATACAGATGGCTCAAAAAAATTAAAATTCAAAGTAAGAATTTACGATCCCACAGGGACCTCTGGGATCGTGAATTCTTACTTTGATGGGGCTCAAATTGAAAGACTGAATTGGTTTCCATATAACCCGGATACGATCGAGCATTTCTGGAACATTACTGAAAACTTCAAAATATTTCATATTTTTGTCCATGAGTGTATAATCAAATGAAGTAAAATTTGTAAAAAATAGCCACTTCGGTTTTCAAGGGCGCGGGTCTAAATTTTTCTCAAACTGCTTTAGTAAGTTCCATCCTCCCCTGTATCACAGCTTCACATCTTAGATGATATTATACTTTTTATGAATTATTACTTATACAGGGTGAGTCAGCTAAAATGGCACACCTCGAATAATTTTTTTATTTATTCACCAGAAGTAATGATATTACTTGCAAATGGAGAATAATAGCTCACGTGCATTGCAGAAATACAATTTAAATTTTTTCATTTTTCAGTTTTTTTGTTTCAAAATTCAGATAAATTAAAAAAACATTTTTTGTGACGATTTTGTTAATTATTGGACTTTTTGTCAATTATGTCATGCTTATGAAGTCATCCATATTGCATACATTGAACTCATTCGTCTTTATTTATAAATTGAATTCCATTAGTCCATTACGATAGGTTATAGGTTCATAAATAAAAAAGTTATTCGAGGTGTACCCTTCTAGCTGACTTACCTGTACATTTTATGTTTATCATCAGTAACGACCTATAGGCAACCAATAATAGCAATTCCTAATATTTGTAATAATTAATGTCCGCGTAAAACGTATTTTCGAAAGTTCACAGGGAATGGTGTAGATTTTTTCTTATTTTTAATAGTACGTACACTACATAATAATAAAATTTGCTCGGATGTGTATTGACAGTTGTTCCAGATAAAACTCCGCGGCTTTGTACCATGAGAACGGATAGAGAGCTTACAATTCTGAAAACGCCATTGTTTTTAGATTGAAGGAGGACACTTAATTTAGGACCTACCTATAGAGGAAGGAATGTAATGTGGACAACAGGAGAGTTAGAAAATTAAATGTAACTACAAAAATATAAATAAGTCTTTAAGTGAGAAACACAATTTTCGCATTCCATCAGTTCAAGTGTCAAATTTTAAGGTGACTAATAACAAACAACAATAGAACAATAATATATATTTCACTTATAAAATTAAGTGCGTGCACCTCATCTTTGGACTTGATGAAATCAGCGAGATGATCTGTTAGGTATATCTACACAAATTTAATACCTAAGGTTGTTTATTTTATTTACAGAAAATTCTTCGGAAGCGACTTTTAAACCTTTTAGTCCGTATTCTCCCTTCAATTCTCGAGTAGTTCACGTTTACGGTAATGTTCAGTAAAGTCCAGGAATTGTTCTCTCGTACTATTGTAATTTAAAACGTGGAATGTTATCAGAATTATTTTGCCAAAAGATGGTAGAAAACGATTATTATCGGATGCCGAATTCCAAAAGCGAACAGTTTAAAATGATTCTGAATTTAAAAAATTAAATGAATTTTAAACAACATTTTTAAAAAATGAATTTAATAGTGATAGTAGTTCTAGCAACTCCTTAGTTACGAGTTGAATTAAATATTTTGCAGAATGACGAAATTTTATTTGTACCTACTTAATAAGTTCTGGCGAATCTTTTGCAACTCTAGTAACATCAGGAGAAGAACTCCACGTGCCACCTTCCAGCGTCAATACTTATGCAATAAATAGGTAAGTCTTTCGCCAAGCCCTGCATGTGGCCAGAAAATGTTGATCATTCTCGCTTCGTTTACTACTAGTACAAAAAGGACTTGTACATGATTACCTTACTATTTCCATCGCTTTAGCGACCAGGAGATACATAATAGTGACTGATGGTATTACACAGGTGCAGCAAGGTGCTAAGATTTAGTTCTCACGAGACAAGTAAAAATCCTTTGACGCCACATAAAAATTGTGTTAAATTGTCACACCACACATCAAAGACTTCGTAAGTAACGAAGAAACGCGTCATTGGCAAAATGTTCTGGAACGCCTTCTAGTCATTATTCACTTTCTAGGGCAACAGTGCTTACTATTTAGAGGCATTTCAGATAGATTATGAATCTAATAATGATCATTTTTTAAAGTAGTAGAATTAGTAAATTTGAAGCTATTATGTCAGACCATTTAGTGAGAATTCGTGAAAGCCTCACTATGCAGCATTATTTGAAAAAGAATAATACAAAATGAAATTACGTATTCACATACTTACTTGCCGACACGATAAAACGTCAACGAAGCTAAATATTACAGAATATATTCGAGCAAAAAAAATTTACTTAGCAAAATTTTATCCGACGTCATTACTTTCTTGAGGGGGATGAATCGACCGAATGAATTAACCCCTGCCTGCATTTCCGTGTTTTATGAACTACAGCGTTATTTTGGCTGGTATATAGCGGCTAAAAAGTTTAAAACGATGTTTAATTTAAACATGAATTTTTATAATTTCGTGGTTTGGGGTTTATATGTATCTTCTTAATTATTGCTATTACATATAGAAAAAAAGTTAAATACTAAAGTTGTATGAGTCTTTCAGTAGCCTACACTAGAATTGTATTCGACTATGCAGTACGTAAAATGATGTTTTTTTCTTTTAATGGAACGGCCTATATACATTTACATACTCTCTGATTGGTCTCTTCTTAGGCTTCATAACCACAGTTTATCTTTGAAATTCCTATGCAATTTTGTTGGTACGTTATTCCAATTTCGTGTTAATTCTTATAGTGTAAAGATTAAGTAAGTCTGCCATAGATATCCGACGAATTTAAGGCATACAATTTTATAACATAATTTAGCAATCTCAGAAACATGGAAGCTTTATCTTTTAAAATCTGAGTTTAAGAAAATCTAATAATCCTAACACACTTTGATGAATATTAGAAACTACGATTAGAAACGATCTTCCAGGTTTTAGATAGGTAAGAGGTAGGCTTCGGATCTTAGGTTTTTTGCCTTTTTATATCTACTTCAGGCATTGCAGCGAAATTTATATACTTATTTATCCGAATTTAAAAAATTCTATTTATTTAATGCCCATTTATTACTACCTAAAATGCCTAATTTACCGTTACAGACCTGAAGTGTTAATTAAACGACCTAATTGTAAATTGTAAAAGGTTTAAAAGAGGATTCCACGACCAACGAAGCGGACGTGCTTGCACAATAGAGATTTTCCGTGAATTCATTGTTTTGGCTGGCAGATTGTTTAAAAATGGATTGTAAACAACGCCCTTGAGTTTAATGGTACGGGTTGGCGTCGCCAACTGACAACGCTGGCCTGCATTTCATTTAGATTATAGCCGAAAGGAGGTGAATTTCTGAAAAAGCATTTTATTTTAGAAGTTTATTGTTATTGATACTGAGTGTCTTTGCGTGTTAGTGAGTGTGCTGGGGTCGGTTTTAATTTTTGTACATACAGCAAAGAATCCTCAAAATGCCTAAGGTAAAATCATCCATGAAAGATAAAATCAAATTATGGTTAGGGAATAATTTGGACACTAATTTTCAATTTCCTTCTTCAACCAAAGGCAATGAGTTATTCTGCAAAGTGTGTGGAAAAGTTGTAAGTAAACATTTAAAATACCTACTGAAGCTTGAATTATGTTCACATTTTTGTTTCCTAGTTTAAGTGCGAAAAAAAATCACACTTTGAACAACACTGCAGTGGCGATGCACATAAAAAGAACAAGAATAAATCCAGTAAACAGACTTTATTAAACACTAGTTCCGACAATGATTTTACGCAATTTTGCACAGATTTATGTAGGGCATTTACCGCAGCAAATATTCCATGGAATAAAGTTCGTTGTCCTGAGTTTAAAAAATTTATGCATAAATATACCAAAATATTACGATATGGTAAGCACTAGAATTTTTATTTAAAAAATTTTATAATTTACAGGTAATTAAACAAATTGGAAATTCTATTGGCAACAATGATATATGGATTAGCGTCGATGAGACGACAGACAGATTAGGAAGATACATACCCCATTTAGTAATTGGAAAGTTATCTTCTGAAGAAGCTGGCCGTCCATTTCTACTAGCTTTGAAGCAGCTTGATAAAACTACTTAATAGCAACACAATCTCGAGATTTATAAACGAATCCTTGGGAATGCTATTGATAATTTTAAGCATTGAAACTATTATAATTTATTTAATTGTTAATTTGTAGCTTTATTGTGGCCAAAAGGAACTGAACACCAAAAAGTTAAATGGTTTGTATCAGATGGTGCTTCATACATGATCAAAACTGGTACTAATTTGAAGGTGTTTTATGAAAATATAACACACTTAACATATGTATGGCACATGGGTTACATTTATAGTGTCTGAAACAATTAGACTGAATTATCCAGATGTCAATGGGATAATTAGCAATGTTAAGAAAATCTTTTTAAAAGCGCCGATAAGAGTAGATTTTTATAAAAACAGTTTACCAAATACACCTCTCCCACCTGAACCTGTATTAACCAGGTGGGGCACTTAGATTCAAGCAGCATTGTTTTATGCAGAACACTTTGATGTTTTAAAATAAGTCAGTAAATATATAATGGTTTTTTTACTATCATTCTTATATTAAATATTTTTAGGTTGTAATGTCATTTGAAGCCACAGATGCACAAAGCATTAAAAAAGCTCAAGAATTCCTGAGTAAAGCAAACGTTAAAAATGAACTCTTGTACATTAAAACTCACTTTAAAATTATTCCTAATGCAATAGAACAATTAGAAACTATAGGTTTAAAATTAAACCAAAGTATGGAAATTGTGGAAAAAGTGTATACCTACATCTTTAAAAAACACACCAGGAAAGGTGGGGGAAATGGCGTTCCAAAAATTATGTTCTCTATTAAAAAAGAATCCAGGATACGATTTTATATGTTCCGTAAATAACGTAATTTGCGGTAATGGAAATGCTACCAACAAAAATGAAAACGTAGATTGTTCAATATTTAATTTTGCACCCATCACTTCTTGTGATGTGGAACGCACGTTTTCAAAACTTAAAAGTGTTTTAAGCGATCAAAGGTGTAAATTTACAATCGGAAATTTAGAGAAATATATAATTTGCTTTTGTAACTCATTTTAAATACCTGAATTAATATTTTATTTTTTGTTAAATGCGACTTGCTTTAATTTGATCACCATTTTTTTGCGATAACTTGTGGACGTAACTATAGATCGTTTATTTATTTAATCATTTTTTTTGTTTGTTACACAAAATATTTGTTTCTATAATGAATGTTTTGTTTAATGTTTTTTTTTTTAAATATATATTTTTTTGATGTATGTTTTTTCGTTGAGTAAATATTTTTTCCTCCAGGTTTTTAACCTAAACTAAGATTTTTATAACCTAATTCGTCAATTTTGGGACCTAAAAATGTCTCCTTTTATACATTTTTGAACGACCTAAAATCCGAAACTTAGTAATAGGTTAATCAATATTATATATATTAAATAGTACATATCATACCTAAGTGTGTGTGTGCAATAAGAATGACACAGAAATTATATTTATTTATTTAAGTAAGTATGTGGAAACAATTTTTGTATTACTTAAACGTTACGCCAACAGATATTTTATTTTATTTTGTACCTAAAGTTAAAAGTAGGAGTTTGGGCCCTAGTTTTAGTAGATAAAGTAGTATTTTATCCACTAGACGATAAAGAAGTCTTTTATTTACTCTTTATTTTTTTTAAATTACATTATTGAAAGTATTATATTAAAAATTCATTAATTCATTATAAAAACAATTATGATAAATAACCGGACGAACCAGCTTTATTTTCGTACACATTTATATTGCAATGTTCAATGTGCCCAATGTTCAATAGTGATGGACGCATTTGCCCCCCCTCCCCCCCCCCCCCTAAATCCTTTAAATATGTCTCCATTACTTGGATATTATCCGAGTGCGTAGGATTTCCTTGCACACCAACCAAAATTTTCTTTGAAACAGCAATTTTTGTGGCTTCGCATTGATCAATGTATGATTCTGCAACAGATGAGGACATTCAGCCACCAAGATTTTTCACACTTAAAAAGTCATCTCCGCTGTTGGCCAAAATTGTTGCTGACGATCATCGAAAGCAATGACCGGTGTATTCCTTATTAGATGAATCCAACTTCAAATAACTTGCAATCCTTTCGGATACCTTATACATCTTATTAATGCCAATTCGTTGCACTTTCCGTTACGATAATTAACAAAAAAGAAGTTATGTGCGACGTGCTGTGGACGTAAGGCTCTGTATTTTCTAACAATATCTACGGGATTAATTCCATTCTCGTCGCCAATAATTCCAAAATTGCGATCTACATTTGTTTTGGTGTCACGTAGATTGACCATCACAACGTCAGCTCTATCCTTCACATCTTCGATGGTCAAATTATATAATTCACAGCTCCTACAAGCTCCAAATATCTCCATGATAGAAATAACCTGTAACTGATACGTGTATTAATATACGGGAAAATACGGGTCCAAAGCAAATTTACCTTTTCCAATTAGTACTCATCATTGGAAGCTTCTCGCCAAAACTTCATGACGACCTTTGTATCAAACACGCGAGATTTTCTTGGTTTGTAGCCTTTTGTTTTGTTCTTGAGAATACAAATCAGTGAACTATATCTGCACCGCTTTTGCTTGATTGTACTTATGTGCATACCTGGATATATCAATTTTTTCGCGCACCAACAACCTTTTCTTTAGCATGGAGTAGTAAGACCAAAGACACGGCGACTTCGTTCGTGACGATTTTTCGCCGAAATATGCGATCAGAATTTCTTCATTAGTAGTTCCTTTAATTTTCTTTGCTTCTTTCCATCTAACGAACGACTCGTACTCTTTCTCGTATGCTTCTCTCAATTTTTCGGGTAATAATTTTGCTATATCCGCATTAGCAGCAATCGTAATCTCGTCCGACATGTTACTAGAATCTTCCGAATACAACGTTTACCGCGTTTTTGGTGGTTTTCACAGCGAAATGGTTTGCTGTTTATTAATTTTACAAAATGAAACCGCATAAACAAGGTGAAACTAAGACAACCCATTTATCTAATTTATGTCCAACGCCATTTCTTTTGCCAGCGCGGAATATTGAAAATAGGTATTGCTACAGTTGCATTATAATATTTTTAAAATTTGGTACAAAATAAAATAAAAAATTATACACGACGATAAACAATCTTTATCTTTTCACTCGTAGACAAAGAATTTGTGTATCGTCTTGTATAATAAATAACTATGTATTATTCTATTGTGTAAATTAATCTGTTAGAGACTCTTGTGATATAGGATTGCGTATGAAAGACGGTAAAATCAGTTACTTGGTATTAAATGGACATATATTAGAGGAAATAACTGCAACTTGAGAAGCGCAGTAGTTTTAAAATTCCATTCCTCGATTTACGGAAGACGGTATATCTACCAGTACATTATTTCTTCAGTTCAGTATTACTGGTTGCAGCATTCACAATGTTACATTTTTTTTATTTTTATAAGTATATGTAATATTTTATTGTAAAAATGATTATTTTGAAGTGCAACTAGTTGCTTAAGATTTATAGAACATATTTATTAAGTTTTATTATATTTGTATATTTCGAAAATTAGTTCTCCTGTTTTTTTGTGAGATGTTCTAGCATATATATAAATAATAAGTTCAACACTCTTCTCGAGTTATCTAAAATATAAAATAATAAATGTCCATCTGACTAGTCAAGCCTCCTGTAAATTATTATTCGAGAAGTCTCAATACGAAGACAGTCCCCCGGAATCCAGAATAATCCAGCGATTAGGTCATCTTCGCCTACTCATCGCAATTATAATATCGCACGCATTAAAAATCCCTCCGTCTCTTCTCTCCTGAAGAATGTGTATCCAATAGTTCAATAAACGTTCTTAAATAATTTGCATTTTTCAATAAACAAACCAGTTTGGGAATGTAGGCCGAATTTTCTCCGGAGCGCGGAGTGGGATGGTGGCCGCACAAAGCCGTCTTCAGCGGTTGAGCTATTTGCCGCTAGAGGGAAAACGCATTCCAACGGTCATTTAAAAACTGTAGAAATCAACAACCTCCGTGACGTGTTGTGCAAAGGGACGTTCGCCCCGTGTTCGCAGCCATGCACCCCAGTAGGCGGCGCAAAAAGCGCCCCAACTACGGCATCCGTACCGTCGAGGTGCTGCGCGGCCCCAACGGGTTCGGCTTCACCATCTCGGGCCAGCAGCCCTGCATTCTGTCCTGCATCGTGGCCAACTCCCCCGCGGACCACGCAGGGCTCCGGGCCGGGGACTTCCTCATCTCCGTCAACGGGATGTCCGTCTCGAAAATCACGCACGACGCCGTCGTCAACCTCATCGGCAACTGCGTGGGGCCCATAAGGATGACCATCGCCGAGAACTACTACTCGGACAGCAGCGAGGAAGAGCTGGACGTGAACAGGATGGTCAGCGCCAGGAAGCCCAAGTATATGCACAAACCTAGGGCGCATCGCCTTTATAAACAAGCGCAGAGACCAGAGTGTGAAAACGCCACCAAGAAACACGCCAACGACCTCAAACCACCCTACAACGACGAAAACACCCCCAACTTGCTCAACATCACCAACCCTCTGCCCATGGAGGACGAAGCAGGACCCGTGGAATACAAAGCTCTAGTAGGCTATTTAGGAACAATTGAAATGCCAAAACAACTGTTGCCAAATTCGAGGTTGCAAACTGTGTGCAGCTGCATCAGGAAGCTCCGTCAAGAGAAAAGGGCCCCCACGGCCGTGCTTATGACGATCTTCCCCACCTGCCTAACCTTAAAAAACTCCAGCAACCACATTCTTGCCATTTACCCAACCAACCGAGTGGTCTACATAGGCTCCACAGCTGACAGAGAGTCCAGGTATTTCGGGTTGGTAACAAGCGCTGTCTGTGACACTAGAAACAACGACAGCTTACAAAAACGGTTCGGAGACGTCAATGTGTGGCACTCTGAAGAAAAAAAGTTTAACAACACTGAAAGCGAAATCGAAGTTTCGAATAGTTGCCATGTTTTCATGATTGACCCTAAAATCGTCGACCATAACCTTCATGTTAAAAAAGCCGAGAGTTTCAAATTTAGTTGCACAAGTGATGTCATCTCAGGACACTGTCTGGAATTTCCACGAAACGCTTTATACATTGTGAATTTAGTACAAAACATGTATAAACTGCAAAGTAGTGACAACACTTACAAAAACGGTGTTGTGGATGAGATTCATTTGGGACCTCTTATAGCAAACTCGCCTCAGCCAAGTGCATCGAGTAATTCAGATTCAGGAATTGGGTTTCGGGATGATTGTGGCAATATTAGTGACAGAATCCTGGTTGTGGAGTTTCCGGCGCATCGAGCATTTCCTATTGTTACGTCGACTACCAACAATAGACCTTCAGGTATTGACGCGTCCAGCATTCCTCTTGAAAGTTTAGATTTGCCATTGAATAATGATCACTCACAAAACTACGAATTGAATAATATTAGGTGTAAAAATAATCTTGATATTAAGTTACCAAATAATTTATCAAAAACTGAGGTTTATGAACGTACTAGTAATATTAAGCAGATGAATAACTTAAATAATATCAGGGCTTGCGGTTCGGTTAATATTAAAAACGTGTTGGAAAAATCCGAAAATTTATTGTTGGCTAAACAGAACAATAATGCTGAAATTTACAATAGATTGACATGTAGAGCTATGCCTGATCGACCAGTCAGAGTGTCAAGAGGGTTATCACCATCCAGTCTTACAAGTTCTGATGACAATACTCGAACTCTTGAACTAGACACAGGCCAGGGGTACTCAGAAAGACCAGTAGATGTTCCTGACAGCATAAGACAGAAGTCATATGAAACAATTTCAGTATCAGAAGACATAGAACTTAAAAGTTCAGTTGATAATGTCTCAGTGCACAGCTCCAAAAGTGTTGAATTGAGTAACTTGAAGAGTGTTTTTAAAGCACCGCATTTACCGTTCTTTGAAAATAAAAAACTGAAAAGACAGTGTAAAATGGTTAACAGTTGTGATAATTTGGACAAATTTGATGAGAATATTATTAGTTATAAACTAAGTCCAAAGGTGTATGGATTGTCAAAGCCAAATCATAGTTGTGAGGAATTGAATAATTTGGATTCTGTTGAAAAATATGGGTATGGTAGTTTGCAAGAACTTTGTAGCTGGGAAGGTCAGAACAAAACCATCAGAAATATAGCACAGAGTGAACCAGATGTACGGATGCAGAGGAATGACATGGAACAGGATTTAGAGGTGAGTCTCCAAGGTGTGACGCTAAGATAAACTATTTCAGTAGTAGAAAATACTAACAGTTAGTGCATGAATATAACAATTATGTAGTAACAATACAAATAGTCCATTTTGTATAGGCACTGCTATTTTAATATAACATTTATGTGGCAGATGTTGAGTTCAATTATTAAGATTTTGCTCTTTTGGTGTATGTATACGTTTTTGACTTCTTCGTTGTTCACTTTTGAAGAGCTGAAAACGGTAAGAAAACCAAAAATTGGTTGAATTAAAACAAGTAATATTTCTTGAAGGTTAACTTTTTAGTTTGTTGTACGTAATTATTCGGAAAAAATTGAAAACTTTCCTTTTCTTTTTAATGTGATAAATGTCATGTTTGGTAACAAATTACCACATAATAAGGTTCATAAAGGTTAATGTTTTAAGTTTGAACAGATTTGGGAACAGCATTTATTAGCTTGTGTCGTGTCCATCCGTGTTATTATCGGTGGCCAAGCATGGACACTAACAAAATTATTTATTTGGGTGTAGGCCCATTTCCTTGGAAATGGATAGCTAAATTGCAATCAGGGAGAGGTAATAAGTAACATGTAGTCTTCATTTAACAAGTATATTAAATCTAAATTCAAACAGAATTAATGGTAAAAATTGTAAGTCCCAGACAAAGATTAAATATAAATACATTCTTAAGGCTACGAATCCAAAAATCGTATTTTGACGCGTCCGCTAAATAATCCCTACCTACTTGATAAAACAAAACTAAAAGAGTCACTATTCATTTCAATTATTTAAATACATGGCAATCAACTGTTACTACAAAAGGCCAAATATCAATGTCTCCTTAAAGTTATTTAAAACGAAAACGCTACTCGAAATGTCCTTAAATAATCTTTTTCTATCCCTGATCAATAAAATATTAGCACAAAACTTAAATTAATTGGCAGTAAATATTAAAGTATGACGTTAAATTGACATGGACGTATGAGGTCCAATTTGCAAATGGTACCTTTCACAAGGATCATTCCCTATTACCCTAAGTCGCAGTAATAAAATTTGGAATGATTAGCATTTCCATAAACAAATTAAAAAGAATAAAAGAAACTGTTCAAAAATCATGGAAGGAAGTTTCCGGACCTTAGAGCAAACATAACAAATGACAATACTACATATTTTCATAAATGCGCGATTAATCATTAACTACGGGAAGTCTTAAAGCTTTTATTAAGGTACACGGGTTATCCGGAAATCCCCCCAAGATTCGTCAAAATTCCGAGATTCACATTAAAACAGGGACCGCAGAGAGCAGTGACCGCTTTCGTTATCTTCATCATTTTGTTAATGGCGTTTGCATTTAAGCGACAGACTAGTAACCCATCTCTCAGATAATTCCTCAGTTCTGAGTTGATAAACGTTCGCCCTTTCGATGACAGTAATGGACCATTCCCCAATTTAACAAGTTAAATTTTTCGTATAATGACGGAGGTCCAGGTTAATCACACATCAGTCGATTATCGAAGAAGGCACAGAAGCAAGATAACACATGCATGACGGTTTAAATTTAGATTCTTTCACTTACAAAAAACCATGGAACTTTTCTAAGTCTTCCTTCGCAATTTCGGGCAAGGAACTATCAGCTGGACAAGGCTTCAGCACGGCTCTACTTGGGTATCGATCGTTGTAGGTACTTGTCGTCTTCGTGGCACACTGGATTCGACTTCCTCGACTTCTCGATTTTGCGACCTTTTATACGGCGTTTTTCTCATTAATTATGTCTTTGGTGGCATCTTTATGAGTGCACGTGTTGCATCGTGGTATTCGTATTTGGGTTAGTTGATAAGAATGCAATCCTTTTGGGCTTTATTTAGAGGTTTTATAAGTCTTAGTTTCGTTGTTCCGAGAATTTCGTCAGACTGATAAGTCGCAAAATAGATTGATGGTAATGCGTGAGATTTGGTTTGTTTTATGCTTCTTTTATCTTGCGTTGCGTTATTGTGTAACGCCTTTGGTAGTTAATTTGATGTGATTTATTTGGTGTTGGTTCCTCTGTGCTTTTAATTGAATGTCGTTAGAATCACGTGCCAACGTTGTGGATTCTTCTTTGTCTTGTTATCATGTTAACGTCACATGCTGTCGCCATCTTGGAACTTTTGCTTGGGTGTGGTATTTAGCTAGGGTTGACTGAGTGAGCACTTCTCAATGGTTTGCGAATATGGGTTTTGCAATTATTTGGTGGTTGGAATACATACGCGATTGGACATGCGCAATTTGCTTGCTTTTTGCGAATATGCGAATTTAATCTTTGAGTTAGAGAATTATGTTCTGAAGTTTCTTATTGCGGTATTTTGCGGTTTCTCCTCAAGGGTGGACCGTCACAACACTCCCTTGCAAAAAGTAAACTGCGAGCTTTTAAATCTTCGTAGTTTACTCTCAAGTCCCCGTTTCTATTGAATTGCGGCTGTCACTGTTAGCAAAACTTTTGTTCTTCTTTGATCATTTAATCATTAAGAGATGTTAAAAGTTGTGCCAACTATTACTTAATATTATAATATTACAATCTTCTTAAATTGTTACCGGGATGCTGGTGCCTGTGATGGTTCTTCTTTTCATTAGTTGTGATGATTCGTTAAGGGATGCTTGGAACTTTCTGGCTCAACTCTGGGATCTTGGTTTCACTTTCGCGTTCAATGGAAAAGGTGGTTGGTACTTCAATGACTTCATTTTTTCGAGGGGCTAGGCCTTGGTGCATGGGTACGTTGGAGTACGTATGGAAGGGGTGCAACATCTCGTCATTCGAACTACTTGTAGGTTTGGTTTGTTGTGGACTCTTCTGAATGTTATTTGATTGTTGTACGCTTGCATATACTTGGGTTTCTTTGAAGTCGTTAATGATCATGTCGTCCCGAATTCGTGTGGCTGGTTTAGGAAAGTCATAGATGACTGATGTTCCATTGTTCTCCATGTATACTGGATTTTCCTTGTAGTTGGAACGCCAGGTTATGTTGGATAGAGTTCGTGTTAGGGTTTTCGATGTGGGTGTTCTTTCGGAAGCTGTGGTTACTTCCAGGAAGGTCGGTGTCTCCGTTCGGGTTGGAATGTGTTCACTGGTTGAGTTGCTGTGTTTAGAAGAACCATGGTACAAGTTGATCATGTAACATAAGAGTAGGTTAATTATGATCAAACCGAATACAATGATTAAGATGTCGCTGTATTGCTCCAGTTCTTTAAGGAATACTGATGGTTGACATCTGGGTTGGTACGTTAGGGTTTGTGACTTCTCAAAACGAGCTTCATTTGGGTTGTATTGCATGAGGTTCATGGTTTGTCCCTCTCCGCAGTTCATGGGGTGGCGAACAAAGGTCATTGTTGTTGATAAATTGTCAAAGGTGTTTGCTTCCTGACTCCTCCAACGAATTGGACTAGTACTGTTTCTTGCAGTGTGCCACGTCAAATTATGAAGCTGTGGATTGTCTTGGACTGGGCAAATTATGGGCGCCCAGTCTTGATTTATAGTGTACATCGTGTTTTTAGAAGCACTTGTCAGAGTTAGTTCCTTTTTGTCAATTTATTTACAGTCATACTTATTATCTTGCTTTCATGCAAACTTTTTAACTTTTGTGAATTTTAAGGATATATATATATATTTTTTTTATGGATTATATTTTAACATCATTGCATGCATTGTTAGTATATCTAGTCTAGTATATAGGTGTGGTTACCGGTCTCTCTTAAGTTATCGTCCGTTTGTTTAAGGTCGACGAATGTTATGGTACCTATGTACGGTTAGTCTCTTTTTCGCGGTTTTCGTAATATCTTCTAAGCTGAATGAAATTGGTTTTTTCTGATACTTTAGAGTAGGATAGTTTTTTGTCGTTTCATAGTAAATCTTTTGGATTTTATAAATTATTGAACTATAAAAACGATTTATTAATAAACAGAATTAAGCAAGTGATTTGTTACATCTTGTTTCTACCACGAATCGTAAGAAGAGGGAGATGTTTTGATTGGTGCCGACAACACGGCATCCCTTATAACTGTTACAAATTATTAAAAGTTCTTAATTGTATAATCCAATTGGGGTGCCAAACATGCACCTGTCAACAATAAAATTTGAATCAAGGTTAGTGGGAAGGTATGTTGGGTTAAAAGTGGGTTTTTTATTAAATATGTTATTTCGCTTAGTGTTTACGGTGCAATAACCAAATAATGAAAGTATTCTAAGACAAAAATTAGCTAATATTTTAATGTTTCTTCTGGATTTCTATGGCGTTTATAATTATTTCTATTAGAATTTTGATAAAGCGAATAATAACATAGATCCCTAGAATGCTATTTGTCCAGGAACCTATCCATTTGAATCAGCCCCACATCTTTTCGATAGTGGTTTCTACTAGTTCTTCCATTTCTTCGACGGTAAACCTATGTAGCATTGAAACACATTGGTTGTCTATTTCTTGACCCATCACTTTACGTGTGAGTATGTTACTTATGGCTTTACGTTCTTGATTGAATAACAGCATCTTGTGCGGCTCGAATTTCCTGAGCAGTATAGATGCTTCTGTCGCTTAAATTTTGCATTTGCGTGAATGTTAGTCTTGCTTCTGTATTGATTGTCAGTGTTGTTGTTGCAAACATGTTTCCTAAATTTGGGTTGAAAATTGTCCATTGCTTATTAATTATATGATACAATGGTAGTATAAGTGTGATTAATGGTTGACTTTTGCTAGTTGGTGTATGGTAATTGTTGGTCAGCCTTGCGAAAGATATTTGATTCTGATTATAGATTTTCAAATAGCTGATAACTTCGGGTTGTTGACAATTCACTTCTGATGATATTTGTTTCATAATGGTGTTCAAATCACTGTATTCTAAACTACTTTTCGCTTTACGCTAATTCACTTTACTTGTAATTTACTTTCTGGTAATTAACTTTATTTCAATTTACTGTACACTAACTCACCTTACATTGATCAATTAACTTTCTTCTAACTTACTGTCTCTTAATT